TGGCATCGTTCATTTTCTGTGTAGCTACAAGCAACATAGTACGTCACTTTCATTGTTTGATTGGCTGTCATTTTAGCTTTGAAAAATTGATACAAAAGTGCTATTCCCAAAAATTCAGATAGACACTGCAGGAGTGTGGAATCGCAAGGTGTGAACACAAAAAAAGATTCAAAGATAAGCAAAGCTAAGAGTAGCTGCAGAAGTTTCACTGCCTGTGCATTTTACTGAACATACGGAACACGTGTCAGAAGCAGCACAATTACTAGAGCAAAACCTGTCGCTATGACTGGGTACAACTGGCCTGAGCCAGCCGCAACCGGCCAAAGGCACTTTGCTCAGCCTCCTTCATAGCTGGTCTTTATAATCATCAGTCTCAGTAGGTAGCGAGGAACATAATGCGAGTAATTATGGGCTAGCTCAAAAGGAGCAGGTAATGGTGAAATTTAATTTTGTTGTTCATCTCATCGCAAAGAATAAATAATTTATATCCATTATATAAGGTAATAAAGGGGTGGTCCAATGACTCAGCATTTAGCTTCACACCCCCCCCCCCAGTGTCCATTATTCCCCACATCACGCATGGTGGCCATAAGTCTTTAATATTCAGTGGGAAACACCTTTGAAGGCTTCACCATTACAGGGAGTCCCCAGGTTACAAACAGGATCCGTTCCCTAAGACACATACACACAGTCCTTGTTGCTGTTAACTACTAATTTGTAATTAAGCTAGAAAAATAATAAAAGAGTACATATTATTATTATTATTATTATTGTTATTATTATTATTATTATTATTATTATCAAGCCACTGAAGATACACAATGTTTTCATGAGAGTCACAGAGTAGCGCATGCATTTGTTATTACGAAACATTGCAATTAACCTGAATTTTTTAATATAATACATTTTATGGCAATCTGTTCATGTGTACTGTATGAGTAGTCGATAAGACATTCTTAACCTGGGGACTGCCGGTTTACTCTACTCATGACTAGATTATGTAGCATATACATAAAGATTTTAAATAGTAGCTGGTGAGGAATTTGCGTTTATATCGTAATTGTGTGGTTCTGGAGATCTACGATTGTAGTGTGTGTTTTATTTCTGGAAGTGACAGTAGTGGGAAGATATTATACTCAGATTGTTGGTGTCGTCCAGCCACGCAGTCTGACATGTCTTCGGGACGTGTGCTGTAAGACTTCGGATCAGTGGCACAGGGGTGATGGCATGGATGTTTGACATCCTCTTCATGGGTCAAGTTCCTTGTTTGCGTGACGACACGCTACACGGCTGCGGACGCATGACACGGAGAGGCGAGACACGCCAATGTGTCGAGCCCGAATTCGAGGTAGTGAACAAAGGGTGCGTGTGCTGCGGTAAGCAGGCAGGACAGACGAGCCATTGTGTTCAATAATGGTGACACGTGTTCCTACACCTCTCTGCCCAGGAAGAGGGGAGGAAGCACTGCTCGTGTCAGAGACCGGGGACACACTGCAGATGTGCGCTTTAAGGACATGCTTCATCGAGCTTGTGGAACTGGAAAGTGAATCTGAAGACTGTATTCTTCTGTCACTTTGCCAAGGCTTCACCTCGTGTCTGTGCAATTATGTAGATTTTCTCAAACACCAGGTGTCTTTTTTTTCTTTTCTTAAATACATCCCGGTTTCCTAGCTGTGGCTGTTGGGTTTCCCGAGGTCCGACGCAGTTTCCCGATTATGTCTCTGTGCTGAGGTCATGGCGCGCATCTGCAGTGCTGCAGGTATTACACCAAAGCCAGCTCACCCTGGCAGTCCTGAAAGCTACCCGGAAGAATGAGTAATAAACATCAGCCGTAATATCAAGCCACGGTTTTGGGCGATGCTGTGGTGTGGTGTCTTTGCACAATTGTTATTGTACGCTAGGGTTAGGCCTCTGTACCTGTTGTTGGGAGGTCAGTAGGTTGCTGTCACCCTGGGTCCTGGAACAAGGCCCTTAACCCACAGTTGTTCCGGAGGCACTGCACACTGGCTAACCCTGCTGTCTGACCCCAGAATTTGCTCTCAGCTGTATATGTGTCTGTGTCTCATGGAGAGAAAGATGGGAAAGGCGAAAGGACAATTTTTCAATTCCATGACTCACTGCTTCCAAAATTGTTTTATATCAGTTGTCTGATATTGTTATGAGTATTATTAGTTATGCCGTTTCTTATCAGCCTTAAAAGCAACAAATAACATTTTATTCTAGTAATTCTGTTACGGGCCTTCCAGAAGAGGAATACACTAGAACCCAACTGGCATTTAGACCAGCAATCCTGTCACAAGCTGACGTCCTTAATCACTGACGTCTTGCTTTCCATTACCTTCGTCTACCTGTGTCGTCCCTTGTGTGCCCTCTCCACTTCCTGTGGGAAAAGAAAAATATACCTAAAGTCAGCTTTCACTGCCAGCACCAGCCCCTGCCTTGCATCCAGGTTTTAGGCGCCATCCCTACCGTGAGTAACTACTGCCCTGTTAGAGGTGCACAAACACCTGACAGCTCTCTGCCTCCTCACAGCCTCCAAGCAGCATTCCTGCAGCATACAAAAAAGAACAGAAACTAAAAGTAAAACAATGACATCATCAAGAAGATATTTTGGATATGGCAACTTTATAAGTGGGCTGTTGGACAAAAAAAAAGCATATTTAATATACATTGCAGGTATCTGTAAATTAAAATGTAATATGAAAAATATAAAAATACAACAGAGCATAAAAATTATAAGCAGATATTTTGAAGAAATGTTCCAATATGCCTGTTCTAATCGCATGCCATTATTACACTTTAAATGTTGTCTGTTGATCTGGGATTAATTAAAAAGTGACAAAGATACAATGGAAGAAATACTATTAGCACAAGTGTGTGTTAAAGTACAAAAGCAGAGTACAATGTCAAATATCTTAGTTCATATTAAAGATTAGCAGAGGCTGCCTGGTGGCTCAGTGTTAAGCAGCACCTGCTGGTTTGTGGATCTGATTCATGGCCCAGATTCTGTGTGGGTGTCTGGATTTTGCATGTTCTCCCTCTGTTTGCGTGGGGTTCCTCTAGATCAGTGTTTCTAGAAGATCACCCAGTCTTCAGGGACCCCTAGATGGTCCACGTTTTCGCTGGGAGCGGGGAAGGAGCAACAAGAACAACTGTCTGGCGGTTCCTGAGGACCGGATCGAGAGAAACTGCTCTAGATTTCCCACCCGCAGTCCAAGAACATACAGTTAGGTGAACCGTCATCTGTAAATTGCCCTTGAAGTGTCAGTGTGAGTCCTACAAAGGTCTGTCATTCCATCCAGGGTGTTGAACCCTATTCTTTGTGAGAAGAACTTCAGGACTACAATGACCTGATATGGGATAAGGAGTTATGGATGCTGGATAGATGAAGTCAAAGACCAAACATCTAGGGAGCTTCTCCCTGAGATCTCCATGAGTTAACTTCCTTCTGGTGGTGCATGCTGAAAGCCATCCCTTGCATCTAAGTGCTCTACCAGGAGTCTCTGTACCATATTAGTCCGATGTGCTGCCTTAGAAATAACAGCACTGTGTGCACCGTAGAGTGTAGCTGTGAAGTGAAAAGCTGACATTGGATCACCACACTGGAAACCGAAATAATCTTTACTGGCCTGGTGACCAGCTGTGTGCTTGACTTCAGTTCAGTGACTCCCTCAGGTCTGGATCCCTGGCTCAGGTGGCCGTTTTGCCAAAATAACAAGAAAGACTGAAAATAAGTCTAACAGCCTATGTTTGTTATGAAAATGCGGAGAACTGCAAAGGATAAAGCAGTTTAAGATGGGCGTGAGTTTGATATGAACCGTTTCATTAATATTTATTGTCAGTCTTACTGATCGCTGCATGTTTCTTTTAGTTCTAGACAAGTTGCATTTAACTTTAATTGACAGAAAACCTTTTTCACTGCGGAAAAGCTTTTTTTTATTACGTTTAATCTTGGTCTGTGTACAGTTATTGTTTTGCTTTAGTAATTATGCTAATCTCATGATAGATCACCTTCTCTTAGAAGACCAGGCAAGACAAGATGCTGGAGGCAGAATACTAGTTAGTTCTTCCAATTGACTCCAATGTTGGAAGCAGAAGATAAACACTATCTGGTGCCATGATCCAATAGACAATAAAATTATATAAAATTCTCTTTGGAATTAATTCAGTGTCTGTTCTCCAAGAGTCATTAATTTGGTTTTTCATGCATGCTCTCTTTTTCGCTTCTGGCTTCTTTCTGAGTGGCCAGAGGTAATGCACTTCATTAAGACATACTTTGAAACAAATTCAAAATAGTCTGATTCAGAATGTGAGATGAAAATCCTGGGGACAACTGGGATGCAATGGGCCAGATGGGTGGCACACCATACCCTCAGAAAGAAAGAAAGAAAGAAGCCTATCCGGAAGTGATCTTTGACAAATCATTAAGAAATGTATCCTACTTACAGCAAAATATTGTCGCTAATTGAATACAGCGCAGCTAGATTTTGTTTTGCGGGGTAAAATGTCTCCATCTATGACCTCGACTGCATAGTTAGCTGGTAACTAACAGGCTGCCAAATCAAATCTTATAAGTGCTTCGGGGTGCTGCATGCAGAAAGTATACAACAGCAAATATAATAACCATTATAATACATGTTCCACAGAAAATATGAGAAAAAGCGCAATGTTAAAATATATTATTTATAGTTTATTACAGAATATTTTTTTACAGAATGTATTTAATATTTCGGTTTTTATTTAATATAAGCATTGTTTTATTATGGCTTTATTATCTGCTTTGAGGACGCTGAGGTGTCCCTATCCAGCGCATCTTCAGAACTCTCCAGCATCGCTTTCATTCTGAAGTGTGTGTTCTGAAATCTCAGATGAATCCTCGGAGGTATAGCTGTGTGGCTTAGCATCGCCAATTGACTTCTCACTATTATACTGAGGATTTACGTCGAGCGCATATGGATGAACAGTTCCAAACGCTGGGAAAAAAATGCAGCGTTAAAAGAGATCTAAAGATTTTCCAGGATGATGACATTACACACTTTTTTTGCCCGTCCCTTTTTCTTGCGCACTTCTGATTGTGCCTTTGAGTAAATACGTGAGAGAATAAGGTAACCGAAGCCCCACCCCGCTGGCTCCGGACTTGCTCTGCACACTGCTAGCAGGAGCACGTGTAGGGAGGCGCATTGGGTATCTCCATCGCCGCGGCTGCGCCGCAGTCGGAGCGCTGTCACTCGATCGGAGCCCGGCTCCGTCCGCCGCCTGCCTTCGCTTAATTGCGTCCCCAGAATAATCCTTACATGCATCGCATTGTGCGCCACTGCAGTGAAGGGAAAAGCCGCACGCGCGTCGGGGGCAGCATCACTTCTGACAGCAGGTAGTCTTGCGTGTCTCTTCTCCTCTACTAAGGACTACAGGACCGATTTGGGGAATACTTTCGGGATCATCACCGGCAAGCGATATTGCAGAAGTTTTTCCCCCCCCACTGTTAGTTTGTTTGTTTTATTTTTTGAACCCCTTCACGTGAGCGAGGAGCTGGCACCTGCTGTTTAATGAAAGGATGGGACCCCGTTTGGCTTTTCTCGTCCTCTGCATAAGCGCCGCCGTCCCGCAGCAAGCCCAGGGTAAGTACCGGGCCATTTCTCACTTTTCCGGCTTATAAAACAATATTACAGCTCAGGCGATCGGAGAATTAGTCGCATTCTCTGTGCCGTTCATTTTATTGATCATGTCAATTTCGGTCCACGGTGTATCGGTGCGCTATAGCCTACTACGGTGTAAAAAAGTGTTTGCTAATGTTAGTATTTTATAAATGTGGAATTGTGACAAGTTTTAACATAATACATGCGCTTCATTTTTATTGGTATTTGGAGCGTACAAGGGAAAAAAACGGAGCTGAATTTTATATTGTAGAAGCGCTATAAATAAAATATGTTTGCGATATACATGGATAGGCTATATAAATGTAATGTTGTTATAATGCTCGAAGGAAACTATTATGCATTAGTCCTTTTAGAAATAGATCTAGCGTCGTACGTAGGCTGTTGGCTGCACTTCTGTAACCTTAACCGGGCAATTAATATTCACAGATGTATACTTAATATGCGTCTTTGCATTAACGACTAGGGAACGGTATCTGAAGATTGCTAATACGTCCAGTATAATCCAGTATAATCTCTTGTTTAGCCTGCCTGCTAATGCTAATCAGATTAACCCGCATTTATGAATTTATAAATTAATTTATTACTCCAACTGTTAAAACCATAACCATATCACCGGGTTATTTTATGCTAGTTATATTAGTGCGTTGCTAGTATTTTAATCTTGTTATTGGACCACGAATAGGCTTTGTTACCTTCAAAGTCCTTTTGTTGTAAGATACCTATGAGGTCATTATGTTTCTGCTCAGTTTGCTGGATGGCAGTACGCCGTCAGTATTTCAAAGCGCGCGAGGGCAACACTTAGTGACATGGAGACACGAAGAGAAGGGAACGTGAATATACCTAACCTTACACTTACAAGTGATTTCACGTACACAGCCCGACGTTGCTCATTCACATGGGAATATCGTTAAGTACGAAACATATATAGGCTACTAAATATGCATGTTGTAAGTTATTTAAATAATTAACATTTTAGTTTTTTCATAAAAATAGTATAATATTTAAACACTCCTCAGCTCTCATATACTGTATGATTAATAATTTGTTATTAGTTTTTCCCCTTCAGTAATGTATTCAATTTTCATACAAAATCCCATGTTCCATTGTTCAAGGGTTTCCATTAGATTTAGAATATTCTAAGAAATAAATAACTTACTGTATGCTGCTTACAGGTCATATAGCTGTCAGAGTTATTCTGTGCTTTTCATTCATGAAGTATAATACAAGACTATAAGGCGCTCCGCTATTTGTCAAGCATTTGTGGGCAAGCCCAGCTGTGGACATGCTGTCACACAACGTATCGGCAAAGACCACTTATCTGTGGGGACGTGTGTCATGCAGTATCGCGGCTCTTCCGTCTGAATCGCTTTAAGCTTGTTTCAGTGGCTACACGGTGCGAGCGACATCTGCTCACCCTCCTCACATCTCAGAGGCTAATATTATGCCAAACTTGTTTTTATGACAGTGAGAGAGACAGAATGCGCGTATGGTTTGTAAGAAGTACCTGCAAAAGACAAAGCTGTTTATATGACACTTGACAAATTATCATTGTAGAATTGAGTGTTGGGCATTGGCTAAATTGACAGGTGGATTGTTGACGTGGAGATCAAGCAACTCACGGGCAAATCACAATTCGGAATGTAAAATGGATTAACTCCATGCAGCTCCTTATGCCTCTGCTTTCTGTTCATGGGTGTATTCAGCGCTGGAAACAATACCCTCACTAAACCTTGTCCTTGGTGGGTATTCTTCCTAACAAGTGTTTTTGGTCTCGAGAGACAATTAAGGTTCACCGTCCACTTCAGCCGCATGAGCTGCGATGACGTCAGGATGCGTGTTGCCTTTTCTGGACCAGTATCTATAACTGTATCATCAATAAGAATAAAAAAAAAAACTCATACATTTCCATACATTTTACAAATTGTACTAAAGTTTCCTCCAGAGTACTGAACACATGCACCTTGCTGATGGACCCAGCAGGTGCCCCGTTTGGCACTAACGGCGCGTCTTTTCTGGAGTCTAACGCTGTAGCCACACAGCTGCCTGCTGGAAAGGTAAAGCACGGAGGATCATCTTTGCATCTCTGAAAGCAGTTACCTCTGTGGGCGGTGTGGCTGCTTAACCCCTCGAGTGCTGATTTTTTTTTATTATTCTATTTATTTCTGACTCAAAGCCTCTTGATGCAATATTACCACAAAGATACCTTTACTTATTTTTGTAATAAAAAAAAACGTATTTTAAAAACACATTTTACATTAAAAACGCAATTAAAAAAGAACCAAACTATTTTCCCTAAATGCATTTTTATTTCATATAATCTTCCCTATCGCCTGCCTACACATCCAAAAAATAGTTTATGGAATTTTGTTTTCATGTGGTGGTGTGTGGATACATTGAATAATGAAAGAATAATTGTTGTGTAATCCAGTGAACTATTTCCTTTTTGGGAGTTTTGTCAGTGATGCACATGGGTGAGGAGCAACGAGTACTGTCACACCTGACATCTGAGGTACTGTATCTCCTACAGCCTGACTTTTCCCTGGATGTGTCCACTGAGAGCTTTCATTAAAGTAAATGAAAAGATGGCATAAATGATTAGTAAAGTTTGCAGTCTGAGATTAGTCATTGAATCACTGACTGTGTCTTTTGCCAAAAGCAGGCCGCGTTTTCAACCGAGCCTCATGAATCATGTTCATGTAAGTGTTGGACTGGGGTGGACATTAGCTGTCGTTCCATCAGGCTCTTAGTCAACAGATCGTCAGATATTTGGCCTACAATGGTGTGTAGAGAACGGATGAATGTGCTATAATGATCCATTATACTGGCAGGAGCCGGCAGCTGCTCCATCTCAGTGGCCAGTCTCCAGCTGCTGGATCATCTGACCATGATCCTTCACGCCCTCGCTGTCTTCCGCCTCGCTGTCACCCGCCTCGCTGTCATCTGTGTCCGGCGCGGTTTAATGTATTATTTACAGTCTTGATTGTCATTTGTACGTTTCCAGGCACGCTTTTGTGACGTGTCCTTCATGCATGTGCCGTGTTTTGGTCCGAGTACAACGGGGTGAGATGTGAGCAAAGCAAATTAATGGCTGTGGGAAATTTCCACAGTTTCAGAAGTGTCACGGTGGGCTGACAGGATGGGGCTGGTAATGTGGGCAGGATAAAAGACAGAAAGACAGATAAACAGACTTGTAAACAAAATAAAATAAGTATGTTTGCTGTGTTTGTGTGGAAATGTAAGCTATGGGGCAGTGCCCAGGGCAAATCTGCTCTCCTCTCCCCTGAAAGTTGCCCTCCAGGACCATCCTAATGGCCTTGCGCATTTCCCTCTGCGGCCTTGTCATAAATCAGTTTAGGGCGAGGAGCCTCTTCATGTTCAACCGTTTTGTTGACCATCTGTTTCCTGGCACAGCTGAGTTTGTTGAGAGGACAATGAGAGGCTGAGCAGTTTTCATGCAGTTTTACTGATAGAGACATTTTTTGTCAGCTATTGTATTGCATAATATAGGGTATATATATACAGTTAGTGCATAATACAGTATATACAACAAATAGGAATAAGGGTCAAATGAATTTACTTATCTTCGTATAATGTGTTCAGTGTTTCAGGTATCACAAAGATTGTCATATTTGTTCACCATGATATTAATTTAAAATGTTTCCTGCTAAGTTCCTTGAAAAATTCTTAGTAATACAACGGTTGTGACTACTTATTCAGTGCTATTCAGCAACAGGTGAATCCTTTTTGGGCGGAGTCGGTTTTTTTGTTTTTAGGTATGACAAAACCATACTTGTGTGATGTTTGTGGCCTTTATCGAAGGACCCAGGAAGCCGTTTTATTTCAGGGGCCTGCAGTGCAATTTCTGCAGCACAGACAGTTTGCACCTAAATGTTTCCTATTTGCGAAATGAAGAGCAGAATGTACCCAAGGGATAACGTTTCTCTACTCTTATCTGTACAGATTCAGTAACTTTGTGGGAAGCTCTACCCGCTGTTGAAAAAGTTAATGTGAAGACAGAATCTCAGCATTTTCTTTATATCTCTGATAAATAGCTGCTCAGAAGCCTTGGTGAGGCCAGACGGGGCTAAAGCTGGTCTTTTTTATCCAGTTCAGTGTGCTTAGGGAGGAAATTTGCAGAATCTTGTGTATGTATCACAAGGAAGGAATATCATAGCAGAACACTGCATAGAAATTAATTTTTGCAGCAGTATCTGGCTTGCATTTAGTGTGATAATATGATGTTAGTGCAGCAAATGACAATGCTTGTTATTATGGGGCAACAGGTAGGCTAACAGTTGAGAGCTTGGCCTTGTGACCCAAAGGATGGTCATGTGTAAGGACTGCATGTAGCTGAAGTGTCTTTTCTTACTGCCAGTCAGGATATCACATTTCTCATGATACTGAAACTGAATGTACTTTGCCGTTAGCCTTTACTGAAATGGTTGGTCTGATTAGCCTCAAGTCGACCACCAATGCACAATGGAACAATAGGTATGGACTATTAATTGGAAATAATAATCATATTACAAAATGAAAAGAAGTCGATCAACAAGATATTTTAAATGTTTAAAAATAGTTGGGGGGGGTGGGGGGTTCTTGAAACAAGATACATCGATTTTGTGTTTGCCAATAACAAGCATGACAGATGACATTCATGCCCCTTCTGCCCGCGGCTGCCTCGGGCAGTGCCCGTCTGCAGGTAACTCAGCCGTACGCCTTCTGCTGATAAACAGGCTACAGGAGAATGCCACCCACTGATTTGCCATTGTCGGTAATGTGGACACCACTGGAGCCCGGAGACTGTTCTGTTTGTGTGGAAGCCTTTTGTTGATTATGGTTTGATGGTGTTGTATGTTTTCCAGGGGCACATACTGGGCCAGCAGGTAACGTTGTAAGGACATTTAGGAAGCTCAGAGGTTCTCCTGATGGTTCTTCCAGCAGTACCTTTGATTATAAGGTAT